GCTCGATATGTTGATCTAGCCCACCACTTGAGATCGCAGACACCGTCGCCTGCCATCGGCGGTGTCTGCGATGGGCGATCGTGACGGGCCTCACAAGCGTTCCTCAGACGACACGCATTCAGGCCGTCGGCTTCGGAGGTCCTCTTAGCCTCGATCCGGTATACGCCCCGAGCAACGCCGGCGCGCAGACGAAAGCGTACATCAGAAACTCAAATGGGAAGAGATTGTGACTCGTGGCGTCTACCGTCCAGTCATGCAGTATGTTGACGGCGTGCAAGACGGCGGGCGTAGCCATCGCCACTCCAGCCATCAGACGCCAGGATCCCGGTTGCGCCATTCCGAAGGCCAAACCAGTCACGAAGAAGAGGGTCATCGAGATAGCAGGCCGAATGTTGGCAATCGCAACTGCAAGCCACGGTATCAGCGGCCAACCATAGGCAGGCTCCGGAGTGCCGCCATCGAAGAGATAGGGCGGCGAAGCCAGACTACATACGCCGCCCACAGCCGCGAACAGGCAGCAGGCCACGCAGGAAGCGGAAACGGCGCCCAGCCTGGTCTCGTGCGTCATCAGTCGGCTTCCCGGTGAAAAGCATCCGATGATGGATATCGCTGGAAGAGATCGTCTGAGCCCCTAACTGCGATGCTGCCCTAACTCATCTCTAGTTTGGCTAGAGCCATTTTTCAATCCTTAGCTAGCCCCGGCCGGCTCGTTACGCACAGCCGGGGCATGGGTCAGATTGTCAAAGAGCCGCCGCAACGTCCGCCACGGCAACCGTGGGCGTCACGGCTTCGGGATGCTCAGGAGAGACCTCACGCCGCAGTCGCTCGGCTTCCGACCACGTCGATTGAATCCGCAGGCAGGCCGCGGCGATCTCGTCAGGCGTCGGATCGATGGGCGGCTTGTAGCCCGGCCGGCATCCCATTCACTGCGTACTCGAAAGGCATGGAAGTCGGCTTCGATCGGCTCATTCAGCTTCGCCCGCGCGTTCCGCGCATCGAAGGCGATAGAGCGCGGCCGCTTGTTCTAAGGTCACTTCGAAACTGACAATGTCGCCGACTGTCTCGAGACGGCTGAGGCGTTCAGGTGGCATTCCCAGCAATTCCGTCTGTCTCACAACAGCGGCCGACCAAGCCTCTGCCGCTGCGCGAATTTGAACGTCCGTCTGCATGTCCTCCCGCGTGTAGTGGGAAGCGGTAATAATGCTGCACAGTCGTTTCGTTTCCCGGTCGAATTGCTCGCGATTGGTCATCATGCGAAAGCGAGCCCCCCATTCTTGCGGAGGAGTTCGTTCGTTTTCTTCGCCTCAGCTAGCTGGTCTCTCGCAACGCGAATCTGACGATTAACACCACTGCCAAGAACTTGCGCGGCGGCTCGGCTGCTAAAGGTTCCGGTCGGTCCGTCCCCGGCATTCTTTTTGAGGTCGTCTTTGACAGCCTTCCCCTCGTCCGCCATCGAAGCAAACTCCTTCTGAGCGGCCCTTGCAGCGGCAGCAGCACCGGCCGCGCCGCGGGCAATACCTTGCATCTCATCGCGGGCCGCAACAGCCGCTTCCTTCGCGGCGTCCAACTCGTCGTTGATCTCTCGTTGTCGCTGCCTTGCTTGCTCGTCGATGGCGCTTAGGGTGTCGTCCTGTTCCGTCTGTAGGCTCGACAGTGTTCCCTTAAGATTCGAGTCGATTCCCGCCAGCGTCTCCCTTAGCGCCTTGTTCGATTGGTCTAACTCGACCGAGATGTCGAACTCTTGGCCGGTAAGGTTCTCAGTGATGATCTTCTGGGCTTGCAGAACGCCGCGCGTTATTCCCGCCTGCGTTGAAGCCCACGCCGATTGCACTGCCGCGGATGCAACCGCCCACGCCGCCCGAATGCGATTAGCAAAGGTGATGATTGTTGAGACGGTTGTGAACCATGCTGACGACAGGAATCGCTGGACGTTCGCCCAGACCGATTGAATCTGCGCTGACACCTCGAGGAACGCCACCCTTAGTCCCGTGAGCGCTACTTTCGCTGCCGCTTCGAGTCCGCCCGTCGTAAAAGTGTCGGCAACAGCCTGGACGGTCGTTTGCACGATGCCCAACAGTGGGCCAAAAGCCGCCGCAAGAGTCCCCACCGCGGCGACGCCAGCATCCGTGAAAGCGACGAACGCGGCGCCCAGGCCAACCACCGAAGCGATGGTAATTCCGATCGGCGATGCGATGGCCGAGATAGCAGCCCCGACAACGCTGAACGCTGAAACGAATCCCGAGATAGCGAATCCGACGACGCCAAAAGCAGCCCCTACGGCAATCAGTCCGCCACCGATCGCTACGATCGCACCAGCGCCAATGGCATAAGCACGAATCAGCCCCTGATTCTCATCAGCGAACTTGGCGACGATCCGGATAGCATCGCGTGCGCCGCGCGCAAATGCCGCCAGTGGGTCCAGCAGAGCGCCGCCAATTGACGCCCCTAAATCGAAGAGGCTACCGGTGACCGCCTTCAGGGAGTTAGCAAAGCCCGCCGAGGTGCGTAAGGCGTCTCCCTGCGCCGCTGTCGTCCCCGCCATGATGATGGCCAGCCGGGCAAAGACCTTCTGTTGTTCGGTCGCTTTCTTCGGGTCGATACTTTGATTCAGCAGCTCTTGCTTGACCGCGGCTTCATTGCTAATGACGCCATACTTCTTCATTACCTCTGAAGAGCCCGTGAGAGCCGCCTGAAGGTCCCGTACAGCGTTGGCGTCCGTCCCGTTGTTGAATGACGCTAAGTCAATGGCTAGCTGCGTGAGTTGCTTGCTAGACGCCTCTGCGACAGCCGGATCAATGCCGATCGGAACCAACAAATCTTGAAAACCCGCTAGGAATCCGGCGATGTCGGTTTTGGATCGTCCGACCTGACCGGCGAGCGTATCGCCCCACTCGCGGACCGCACGGGCGTTAGAACCGAAGACGATGTCAAACTTGCTGAACGTCTCTTGAGCGTCGCTGGCGGAACGCACAGCAAAAGCCAGTGGGGCGGCAAGAGACGCCCCCAGCCCGATGAACGCACCTCCAATGCGAGCGACCGAAGCACCGAACAACTGGAGCCGTCGCGACGCATTCAACAGTCCACGGCGGAACGCCTTGTCGTCGATCGACAGCCGCATGAAGGCGCGGCCCGCTTCGATTGCACTACCGGCCATAATGTCCTTTTGGTTGCGCTTGAACCGCCGCAGGGGCCACGGTGGGCCACGCTGCGACGTTGGTTTGCTCAAGGCCGCCCCGAGAGCTTTCGATAGTTAAAATCGCCCGCTGGTTACTTCGCCGGCTTCCACGCGAGGTAAGCGTCGATGATCTGATTGACCGACAACCCGCGCAGTGCGCTGAACCTCGTCTCCGCCGGCTTGCTCGGCGCCGACATTGGCGCCGTCTCACCCTTCGCCGCGTCGCCGGCAATCACCCTAGTGATCGCGCTGTCGATTCCCCGGTTAGCCGTCGCCGCCGAGTCAGCAGCGCTCTTACTCAGCCCCGGCGGGATGATGACTTGCGCCGGCTTTTGCTTGCCGGGCTTGAACGCGTTGAAGCCAATAGCCGCTAGTCTGATCCGCATGATGATCTCGTGGTTCGAAGAAAACGCCCGGACGATTGATCGTTCGTAGTGGCGGGGATTGGAGAGGATGACGGCACTGAGGTTGCCGCCCCACCACAACGCCGGGCGGACAGTGGGTTAAGCGCTGGCCGCCATCCGCTCCGCCATTGCCTTCACGGCGCTCCGTGCGGTCGCTTCCCCGCTCTTGGACGTGCTAACGTGCTGACGCGCGGCGTTCAATCTCGACTCGGCGTTGGTGATCTCGGCGGCGGTGGTTCGGACCGGGCGGCACTGACGGACAACTCCGTCTAGCTGCGTCCGTGCGGTCCGTTCGTTGACTTGCGCCGCTGGCATTTCGTCGGTAGTCAGACCAGCCTTCGCCAGCAGGTCGATCGCCTTCTCGACCGCCTTGGCGTGCGCCGCTTCGGCGGCAGTGACGGCGGGGCTCAGGTCTTCGACCATCGTCTCGGCGATCTCGTGACGCTCACGCCACAGCCGGCAGGCGCGCGAGTAGCTGTCCGCCTTAGCGAATCGCCGATTCTCGACAGCCGTGCCCAGAGCGAGGAGGTCGGTATCGTCGTCGCCTACTGCCTTCACCGCAGCATCGACGGCGGTCGAGAGGCTGGCGATGTAGCTGTGTAGGCCGTCTACGGCGGCGTTATGCGCGTCGATCCGTTTGGCGGTCGTTGGCTTCACGCCCTCGAGTGTCGGCAGCGGCAAGCCGGTCGTGATCGCTTCAATGGAGGGAACGCGGGTCGTGGTGATCATGTCGATCCTTCAGGGTTACGCCGATCGCTCGGCAGGTTGGAAAGCTTCAGCAGCCGCCAGACCGGCGGGGAGGATTCGTAGCAGCTTGGTTTGCCCAGAGCCTTCGTACAGTTCGAGCTTCTCGATGTAGCCACGCGATTGCAGGCGATTTAAGGAGCGAGAGACACGCACACGACCGGCCCCACTCGTGACGTCGTGCTCAGTCCAATCACGAACGTTGAGACGCACCACGCTGTCGTCGGCGCACCGCTTGGCGATCCGAAGCTTTGCCCGCTGGTGCCCGTCACCGGCGCTGTGAATCTCTTCCAGAGTCAACGCTTCGTGCCGCTGCATTTCGGCTACGGCGCCGGTGAGGATGTCGGTTTCGAGCGAGGTCAACGGCATGGCGGGGTGTAACGCGTAAACAGATTTGGCTTTCTTGGTAGTTCCCATCAGTCTGAGTATTAGGTGCTCAGGAAGGACCCGCCCCGCGATGGGCCGCTCCCTCCCGCAGCCGCTCGCCGATCCTTTCGAGGTCGCGCTCATCGAAGTGAGTCACGCCGTTGATGACCATGGCGGGAGAGACGCCGATCTCTAGGGCAGCCGCCTTGATGCGTTGGGGCATGGCTTGCAACAGGGCCGCGGCTTGTCCGACGCTGATGATGCTCTGCGTGGGGGTCATGGTTGGCGTTGGGGTGAGAGTTGATGGCATGCCCTTAATCTGACGGATGGCTACTGCCGCTTTGCCATCTGCTGGCAGCGTCAGCCAATAATCACAAAAAAACGGTGACGGCATTCCAAGCATTCCGTCCGCCTGCTTGTGACGCCGTCCGTCGTGACACTGCGAAGCGACTTCAGCTCTGCCGATTCGCAGACGGGGCAACGGGGCCGTTCGATAAAGACGTAGCGGTACGCGTCGGGCGTTGTTGTCGGCGTCGTGCTGGTGGTGGTGAATCCGTTCATGGTTAGAACTCGCAGCCTCCCTCACGATGGGCTTCCTCAACTTCGCTGCGGAACTCAGCCCGACCGGACTCGACACGCTCGCGGATGACTTGCTGGTACGGGTTGTCGTTGCGCCACTCGCAGGCTCGGAAGAGACGCTCGATTCGGCGGCGGTACTCGGCGGCGGTCATGATGATGTCCCCCACTTGGCGAACGCCGCTTCCGGCTGAGGGCCACTCGGACTAGCTCCCTGTCCGGGTGATGACTCAGACCCCCTCACACCCACACCCAGACTCAGACCCCCTATAGGGGTCTGTCTGAGTGTGTGTGTCTCCACAGTCGGACAGTCGGACTGTCCGGGTGAGTCCG